TGCTCACCCCCACTTGACGCACCGATGTGTGTGTGTGTGTGTGTGTGTGTATATGCGTGTGCGTGTGTGTATGCGTGTGCGTGCGAATACGTTACGTACTACGTAACGGCGCACGTACGTACGTATAGATGTATGTACGTATATACGCGCGTACGCCGCGCGGCACGGCGAAGCGCGGCGCGAAGATGGCATCCGAAGAGCGACGCCGCGCGCGCTGAGCTTTTTTTGCGCCATGCACGGAGGAGAGATCGTCCCCGATGGCGATGGCGACCGCGTTGCCGCCCCACTTCCGTCGTGGGTCGTCGACGATGATGAAGACGCGGCTACCATCGCCACCGCGCGTTCTGCCGAAATTACCGGAATTACCGCCACGGAAATCATCGCCCTTCGGCGAAGCGACTCGTTTCAGATTTTTCAACGGGAGATTATGATACACGTCCGCGGCGCGGGTTAGATCGTGCGATGCGACGAGGACAATGGCAATTGAATAAAAACCCACGTGCCAAAGTCGTGGCCGCATTGTACGATTTGTCGTGAAGAATAGCTTCAGGCCGTTTTTGCTCCGGCGGCGGCGCAACCGTGCGCACCGCGTGCCATGAATAGTCTCACGCGTAAAATTAAACCAAAATGGCCATCTCTATTGTTCGTCTACTTACCTGCTTAGCTTACAAATCACGCAGATGCGAAGAGGACTACCGGTGCGACGTCTATTACGTTAACAGATTCACAACGGAGTGGATGAAAATACTCAGTACCGCAAACCTCAGACCACACACTCTCGAGCGGACAGCTCGCGGAGACCTTCGAACATGAAAAAGGAAAGATTGATCACAACGGGCGACTATCGTTGTAGGTTAAAGGCGGGAACGCAAACTTTCGCGTTAAGTCTGTTCGCATTGCATGTACTTTTTGCACTCGGCATCTTCGCTTTCTTTTGTTCCAACATCCGTATAATATATTTAAGTCTGTTTGGATTACTTGTACTTTTTGCACTTGGCATCCTCGCTTTCCCTCTCTTCAACGTCCGAATTGTGGAGACACAAACAGATTTTTTTTTAGGTCTGTTCTATTGAAATTTTGCACGTTTTACATCCACAAAAATTTCGGACCGACAAATAATTTTTTTCCAAATGATATAATGGTTATATTTATATGCTGGAAAAATAAATACTTATATATTAATATACTTATCGAACAGTTATTTATTAATAATAAATTTCTTTTTATACGTACAGAAATTCAATTTCGATAATCTTGTATTTAATTTATATGTGCAGTATGAACAGTAACGCACCAATAATTCTGATTGGTTGATTCTCACTCTATTACTTTTCCAAGTTTCCGTTTTCCGAAATTCCGACTGTCACAAGACAGCACTCTTAAGTCTTAAGTCGGATCTACAATTGCGTAAACATAGTAGTCGTAAGAATTGATCAATCGCACTTCAATACGAGGAGAATATTCGACTTACATTTACCCTTAATCGAGTTTAATAACATCCGTAGTTCTAAACTGGCCAATCCTGTGAACAGTCATTCCATTCTTTCGAGGAACAGCTATGATTGGCTAATTTCATAACTATGGATGTATTAAAGCATGTCATGTAACACGCATTCTACAATAAACCATTAGTCAATTGACCATTCACAGTTGTCAATTTCCAACTTCTAACGTCATTTATGACTAAGGGTTTATTGTAGAATGGCCATAACAGATTATGATTTATCAATTTCTTATGGCTTAAGGCTATAACAAAAATTTATTGTAGATCCGACTTATGCGTTATGCAAAAGTCTGTGCGATTTTAAGTAAAAGAAACATGTATAAGAGAATCTTACAATTGATTTTCACTACGTAATATTGTAAATATATGACTTTTTCTATCTATTGAAAAAAAAAAAAAAAAAAAAAAACTTGAAATTATTCAATGAAATATCTGAGTTTTTTTTACATTCTGATTATCTTCTCGCTATGAATAAAATATCATACAGTAATTATATATATCTACTGTATTGTTATTGTATTGTAATTGTTAGATAATTATATATTAATCATTCTAACTTTTCTTTTTTCTTTTAAACTACCTGTTTGAATATTTGTTTGAAAGAGGCTAGGATATGGAGAAAAGGCACAATAAATATAACGGTACTTTTTCTACGCTAGTTTTACACTTTTGTATTTCATATATAATTCTAAATATTTTATAGAACATCGGATAACCTGTGTGTTCATTATTTTACTAGTAAATTAATTTTAAGCTCAGTTTCATAATAACTTATAGTTAACTTTTCAATTTCATAACTTATAGTTAACTTTTCAGTTTCATTAACTTATAGTTAATTTAACCGAGGTTGGTGAAAGTCGAGACACTAACTCTTCATTTTTTTCTAGTTTCAAGAATAAGAAAAAGATGAAGAGTAAATTTAATCGAGATTAAAGTTAATTTACATTAGTAAAAACGGACATAAATCGATTAGTACGCGTATAAGTTGATATGAAATTAAAGACCATCGCACATACAAAAATTTTATGTTTATTCTACAATAGGGTGGCAAGTTGTAAGCTGTAATAAATTAACCAATCACAGTTAAATATGAAAAAAATAATCGACTGTAATTGGTTAATTTCTTACTGCTTACGGCTTGCGACCTTATTGTAGAACAGGTTTTAGTAGTAATCGTAATACCGTAAGCAAATCAGCCAATCACAGTCGAGCATTTTAAAACGTGAGATCGCAATTTTGATTGTGATTGATCGATGTGTTTAAGACCATTATGCATATCGGCCTAGATCTTTTGTTTCGAAAATAATAGCAAAACTAGAATCTAAACGAGTTTAATTATTTTAACATTTTCAGATATCAATATATAATTATAAATTAAATGAATTGCAGTTGGTCATATTTAAAAATATATTTAATAAATTTAATTGATTAAAGGGAAAAATTTTATTACGAATGTAATAATCAATTGGTGCAACTGGTCCTGATTACGTCCTTAACACTAGAAAGCTGACGAATCCAATGACTGCGTGATCAAGAAATGACTTTTCTTTTTTTTTTTTTATTTAATTAACGAAAGCGAATGTGCGCAAATAAAGGAAACCGCTAGGAGATACAGTATGTACATATTTCTCACAATTGTGATACAATTCGCAAGTCAGAACCAATAAGGGACTGCGCATAATCAAAGGAATAGGGAAACAAAGAATAAGAATTTCAATCTATCAGAAACTATGTTTTCAATACATGATTTAGATTGAAATTCTTAGATTGGTATTCATAATCACTCTTATATTACACTCTTATATAACAGACTATGAATACCCTTATTCCTTTGACTGTGACTCTTAAAACTATCCGGTAGCGAACCATATGTTCACAATTATTTTTTCATTGCAAATGTATCGAAATATTCATTTGGAATGTTACAACTTTCCGAGTTATACTCATGGAAAAATAATAAAAATAATTATATAGCTATAAAAGATATAAGTAAACTAAAATGAAAGCTTTTTGAAATGTATGTACATAATAGATATTCCGATTAAAAATAATGAAAGAAATAGAAGGGCTCGAAGGAATAAGCGCGGTTCAGAATGTTAGTTGTTAAAAAAAAATCTCTCAATATACAAGTTAAATTTATTGAAGAAGGGTAGAACAATAATCCTCTTCGATTTCAATTATCTATACATACATTATAATGGGGTGTATACACATTTGTTGCTATCAATTTAATTCACCGAGATTCTTGAGCAAATAAAAATTAGTATTATTTTGAATACTAATAGCATGATTTCTATCAGATAGATTTGTCGAAGTCAAATTACATTAGGGTAGTAGAGAAACATTAGTATTTAAGAAAACAGTTCGATAGCCTCAATGAACTTTGTAATAATCACTACAGATAGTAGCTCGAAATAATTAACAGTGAAAGTATAAAATTTGTGTACTCTGTATCAAAAATATGGTGCACTGCCGGAACGTTAATGTTGACATCGACCAAACTGAACAGCGATTAATTTTATTAAAGTTAATTACTGATTACATGAGAGACTTTAGAATCATACAGCAAATTCGGAAGAATAATTTTTACTTAGTACAGTACCTCAACAGGGCAAAGAAAAGAATAAATCTTCAACCTTTCATCTGCGAGTTTGTCCTCCAGGCTGTTCTGGCTATCGTTAGTTCAAATTGATGACAGTTCACAAAACGAGCTCTTAGACATAGTGCACAAGAACTTCGATTTGCTACCCGGAAAAATCGTCAAAAAGCTGAATCTTCAACCCTATTTATCAACAAACCAGTACATATGGTCACTTTGGATGAGATGGTTTCACATGGAAGCAACCAAAAAAGCTGGTCTTTGATTGATGAGAGGATGAATTTTAAATTGGTTTTGGCGTTTTTTGGTTTTAGGTATTTGATAGAATCTGTTTCTGGTTCTCTAATTCTATCTTCTTCTCTATCTTTTTCTCGGAGAAAAAATCGTATTTTAAGTAAAAGAAAAGAATTTCATCCGCGATATACTTCGATTTCCGTGCCGCATTATCGAGGCCATCGATACTTAGCAATTATATGACGAATTCGTTCAGATTGCTGCTTGTCAATTTCTTCATCTCCAATGCATCGTCTGATGCC